GCTTTCCTCCTGTCCCAATACCATGATCAGTCCATTCTGGCTTCAGTAGTTCCTCATGGTTGCCTTGACCGTGGTCACTCCCTACCAGTCCTCCCGTCCCCTCCCTACCGTTGGTTTTGAACCATTTGTTGTTGATGACGGCCTTTAAAGCCCTGAGGAGGATGGATGGCGGCTCCTGTAGCATTGTGACATTGTTACTGAGTTCTAACTGCCTACCTGGCAGAACAGCCAAACCGAAATGGAAAATTCCCCAAACTGCCCTTACCCCAGACGAATACCATAAAACCCTTCCTCTCCCTCCAGGGCAGCGCCATTTCTCTGGCCCTGATTTAGAAACCCTTGAATTTTACCCCAGAGCTCTGAAATGAATCTTTGAAACAGTTTTCTACTTTTGAAATTGTTTTCTACCTTTGCCTTCTTTCCGTCTCCAAATCAACCTCACAATTTTGAAACCTTATCCTTGTTTGCATGTTTCTTTTTCTACCTACATTTCCAATCAAGAGTGGTAGGTGACTCTAATGCCAAGCATTCCACCCATACATTGAAGCATAAATGGGCTAACCTGTTCTCCTCTGGGATATGAAGAGACATGAACTGCAGAGGATCCAAACATTGCACCAGCCAGCCTTGGCGTTCACTTATTCGAGAGACGTCTACCTTCAAAAACTGGTTTGGCATTCTGCTCCAAAGAACATGTGATAAAAACTGCACATGGAGACGCGGAGGACATTGTGGCACAGGGTTTTTATGTTCACTTTTGAATAATCCAGCTGATAGAGGCATTACATTCTAGAGAGGGTGAAGCAGAACAAGAATGAGCTCACTAAATCCCATTGGGATATAAAGTCATGATTAGACTTCTGCAGAGAAAAGAGATAATGAACATAAGACACAGTAGGAGTTAAAGTATGCAAGAAATAGTTTATATTGGGTTGAAAATTTCCTGAAGGGAGAAGCAGAGAATATATTATGAAATAAATCATCTGACAGTTCCGGTCATGGGATAGTCACTTCCTGGACCCCCTTAGCATATCAGGAATGAAAATAGAAACAAATATCACCCTATGTCCCTTTTAGGTATACATCAAATTTACTCCTTAGGGTATTCTGATGTGCTTAAAGCTACTCTCAGTGGCAAACATCCCCAAAGAGAAGTCAAGCCAATTTGATACTCTTTTTCTTTTGCTGTCCCTGATGTTCACCTCATCTTTAACCACTGCCTTTAATGAGAGGTATCACAGACAGCTCAACAGATTAATGTGTCACCTGAGAAAAATATAACTAATCAGCCATTTCGACTTTCATAAACAGTCTTAGAAACCCACAGGGGCAGTTCTACCCTGTCCATAGGGCCACTACGAGTTGGCATTGGCTCGATGGCAGTGAGTTTGGGGTTTGTTTGTTTGTTTGTTTGTTAAACTAATACAATCTGGAACCTTCTCTACTGCATTCTTTAGACAAGCTCATTATCAAAGGAGTTCTCTAGGTTCTTTTACTAAATGGTAGAGGGAGGCAGAACCAGACACTAAGGATATACCAATGAACGAAACAGACAAAATCTAAGCTTTCATTTTTCTTACTGGCAACAAATAAAATTAATTAATCAAATAGTATATTAGAAGAAATGCTATATTAAAGGGGGAAAACAACAACAAGTATAATAGGAGTCCACATTTGAGGGCAATAGTTACAAATAGTGGTCAGGGGTCATTGAGAAGTTGATATTAAAACAAAGTCATAGGAGATGAACAATGTTGCTATGCTGGAGAGGAAATACTCATAGAGAGGAAATAATGTAAAGGATTCAAAAAAGAAGCTTGGCTGCCAAACTGTGCAATAAGGTGTCCTGGTGGCACAACAGGTAACTGGTTAGCTGCTAACTAAAAGGAACCCACTAGCTCCATAGAGTTTACATCCACGTCCAATAGTTCTACTGTCATCAGGGGTCCCTGTGAGTCCAAATTAACTCAAGAGTACTCAACACCAACAATGAAGCCGGAATACAATGTCGAGAGGGGCAGGATATAATGCCTGGTAACTGATGTCAGACTGATTAGGGACTTAAGTCATGTAAATGAAGCCCCAGTTGAACAAAACTAAAAAGACATCATATCAGAAGATACTTAGCATAACAAAGACAGTATTCTTCATCTTCATCTTGGTTAGAAGTGACTGACCAAAAGCTCATAAACAGTCCTCTAAGGGGCAATTACTTTCTCTCTGTCTGGAAGAAAGAAGCATGAGGAAAATCAAAAGACATGGAAACAATTAGTCCAATGGACTACTGGACCACCTAAATATCAGTCTTCAAAACCCCAAATTCAGAGGAATTCCATACTTCCTGACTACACCTACTAACTAAAGGAGCCTATTGGAAGTCCTGGATAGAGGGGGAGAATGACGTTGAATAAAACTTAAAGACATAAACAAGGCCAGATTACTGGTCAGATAAAACTGTGGCTTTTCATCACTCTTCAAGTCTCATCCCTATAAGAACAATAAGCCACTTAAGATCAAAAGATAGTATTCACCCAAGGACACTGTTCTGAGGTTTATGGGAAAAAGAGGAATAGAAACAGGAAACAAGGGGAGGAAGTGAGGTAACTGGAGGGGATCAGAGTGGATGAGTTGGGGCAAAATATGTATAACTTGCTGAATGTAAAACTGAGAGTTTGCACTGTAAACCTTAACCTAATTCAAAAAAAAAGAAACTTAAAAATAAATAAATGTGCCATTGTTATTGAAGTTTCATACATTTAAAAGAGAAATTGTATATACAGGTCATGGTACTTATATAATATCATTCCTCTGTCAAGTGTTATAAAAAAAGACATAAAGGGGGTGGGAGGCGGGAAATGAACAGCCGATATTAAGGGCTAGAGCAGAAGGCAAATGTTTTGAGAATGATGAGGGCAACAAATGTACATATGTGCTTGA